TCCTGCCACTGCAGCTCAGAAGTATTGAAGACATTACATCGAGGAATGGTTCGTCTCTTTAAATAAAAATTGCTTTATGAAAACAGGCTGCGGGACAGATTTGATCTGTTGGCCACAGTTGATAACTTTACTATCTAAAAAAATTATAAAATGGTCAGTTTTCTCGGTTAACAAAATGAGAGAATGGGGAAGAACTGGAATTTGTAGGCCTAGTGCAGCATTTAATAACTGCTAACTGAATGAATACATTAACTGGGGAGAGAACATGGCCAGAGGGGGTTAAAAAACACGGTCACAGTTCAAGATTTTGTAGGCTCAATGCTTCTCAGTTCTGACAAGATCCACTGAGTCAATAGCTATCAGCTGTATCATCAATGTAGTTATTAAGATTTTAAAGAAAAATCAACATGAAAAAGTTGATATAAAAGGATTGGAAAGCGCTGTTTGGGAAGACAGATGGGATGGAGGAGAACACTGCATTGGACCAGTAGGATAACAGCGGTCTCTGGGTAAGGGAGCACTGGTCAAGGGAATGGAAGTGGGGTCTGTTGAAAAGCATGAAGAGACTGTGGCAGGAGAAAATATGAACAGTGAAATATTTAAGATTAAATAAAGAAGAAAGCCTGAAAGCATAAGATCACCAAAGGACTCGCTGCTCTACCTTTGCCAGTGTGTGTATTTCCATATATGAGATGCCGGGAGGCTGGGCACTGCCCTGTTCTGTCAGCCAGGTACCCTTCTGATACCCTCCATGGAGCTGGGCTAGCAGTGAGCCAGGCACACCATGGCATACGGCGGGTGCCATCTAGAGGCTGAATTTGTGAAGCTCTAATGTGGCAGAACCATCAGCAGTTTTAAACACATACCAGTACAAAATCACCTTGGCGGTCAGCGCCTACTTTAGCACGAGGCAATAATTACCTAAGAGAGAGAGTTTTTAAATTAACATGTAACTTACTCAGAAACATGGCCATTCATGCTCGGCTTTATAGTAGGCACTGAAGACATCCATTGAGAAAGAGAGTGCTGTCCTCAATGCTGGCCAGTGTAATGAGAACTGACATAGAGAAAGATTTGCAGATGGACAGAGGTGGAAGGCAAGGCAGTAAAGAGGGGTACTAAACTGGGCAGAGAAGATCTCCAAGATCTCAACGGATTATCTGAGACATGTCAGACATAACCTACATTGTTTCCAAAAAGAAGAAAACTGTCGATCTGGAGTTCAACAGAGGTGACAAAAAAAAAACATCAATCAATACTTTCACTATTTTTATTATCTGCTAGTCAGCATTTGAAGTACTTTACCAATATATTAGCCCAGTAATAGAAACATGTCATTACCATTTCTGTTTTGTGAAGAAAAATAAAATGATTTCCCCCACAGTCAAATCTGGCAATGGAAGAGCTAGGATTTCCATACGAGGTAGTCAGATGCCACATGACATTTCTTAGGTGGGACTTAGCATCCCACACCAGCAGCTAATGGCCTAGCACAGGTTAGGTCCTCTGAGCAAACGGCAGAGTTAGGAAGGAACACAAGCAAACACGGAGAAGCACGAAAGAGTTTCAAGCAAACCATGTGTAGTGTGGTAAGCCTGAAATCCCAGCAATTTGGGTGGTCAAAGCAGGAAGATTGAGAATTTGAAGCCAGCCTGGGCTATGAAGCAAAAACCTGTCTCAAAACAAAACAATAAAGAAGTCATAAAGACTCAAAAAGGGCTAAAATAAGTTACAAAGAATCTCCTGTATCTGGCAATGAGGTTGTTAATAAATTCCTGTAGAACAACTTAAGGAGACTGAGGAGCCAAGACAAAATACAGAGATATCAAATGATAAAAATGTACAATATATACATGAATTTATAAAACCCTGGTGGGAAAAGACACATTAAATCACTGGGAACAGCAAGAAGAAACCACTGGTTCACTTAAACTTCTTTTTCCCCAAACTGGGCAGACCATGATGTAAGCCTATCATAAGAACAGAGGTTACGAAGGGCAACATGCTGGGGATGCACCTCACTGGCAGAAAGGCTGCTTAGCATAAACAAGGCCCTAGGTTTGACCCCCAGAAACATCCTCCCAATTTCTTTAAGTAGCAAGGAACCAAGAACTGAGACTACCGCTCAGTTTCTGGTGAAAAGATGGAAGCTGTTTTCAGGGTGTGTAGACGAGGGGCACAGGAGCTAAGAATTCATGTCACTGAACTCTATTTTGTCTGTGAAATAGAAGGTGAAGCCCACAGAGTGATGGGGAAATTTTAAGTTTTGAAATTGCAACTAAAATTAATAGGAAAAGAAGCTTATCACATACAAAGAAAGTTGTTGCGATACAAACCCAATGTAAATTAGGAGACACACAGGCACACTATGGTGGGTATGATGGCGTATGCCTTTAATCCCTTAGAAATTCCCATCACATAGGAAGCAGAGGTGGGTGGAGCTCCATGACCTCCAGGCCAGCCTTGTCTACAAAGTGAGTTCCAGATCAACAGAGCTACAGGGTGAGATCCTGTCTCAAAACAAACATGCCCTCCTCACTAGATACTTATAGGACGCTGATTCTTTAGTTAGGGAAATTTTCCTGCGGTGCCTGGGTATTAGGTAGAAGGGGGCGAAAGGGACAGATTTTCTAATATATACAAGATTTGAAATTTGCATAATAAATATAGCATAATATCAAAGTGGCCAGACAACATGCTGCTGATTAGAAGAGACCTTCCCAAGTCAGGAAGGGGCCGAAACCACAGGGAAGACACAAATACACCCAGAGGCAGGAAGGACATCAAGAATGAATAGGTGTAGGTGGAAAGGGGAAGGAGAGATGGCAAGGCAAGCTACAGTTAAGCTCCACCGGGGCAGGAAGCAAGCCTGTTTCACCTCTTTATTTAGTTATCGTCAACAACTGTTATTGATATAAGGAGTCAGAGAACAGAAAAGTGTGTTTTCAGACACACTATTACATAATTGTTATAACAATTATGACCAGGATCAATGCTGTGAACACTTACTAAGCATGGAAAGCAGGGTGCCTGGACCCTACATGACTGAGATCCACGGGGGCTCACTTACTGACTAGGTTAAGCAAAGACTAAAAGACTCCCCTCCCCACCAACCCCACCGAAAAAAAAAAAAAAACAGTTAACAGATGATGATAGTAAGGAACAGAATGGGTAGTGAAAGACTGGTGACACAGGGGAGCGGCACTGAAGAGCTGGGAGAACAGCTAACTTTGGTCTTCCAGCCTTGAGACAAAGCAACAGGAAGGAGGAACGAGCAGCCCCCACTTGAGGCCTGCCGGAGAAATGGTGTCCTTGGGGCTGTGCCAGGTTTCAGTGTAGGCCAGGAGGGGTAAGGAACACTGTGTGAAGAAACCCAGGCTCCAGAAGGCGGTGAAAAGGGGTGGGAGGAAAGCAGTGGGAAGACGGACCAGGAAGAAATGCACACAGCAATACGGGTGTGAGATCAGGAAGCTAGGAAACCCTGCATTTTGGTTACAAAGAAGCTAGGGATAAGAGAGTCATGAAAATCATTAAGGGCTGAGAAAGCTGAATCAGAATTTTGGGAGGAAGCAGTATTGACATTAGTAATACCGGTTGAAGCGTTCTGACCATGAGTGTTAGCAACTTGTTAGATGTGTTAGAGAAACAACACAGTCTTACCGAGAGAGAGCAGGTTTCCATAACTGTCCATCACGACATCTCTATACAGGCTCCTCCGCGCTGGATCCAGATAATCCCACTCCTCCTGGGTGAAGAAACATAGCCACACTCTCAAATGTCAGCAACTGCCGAAATAGTGATTTCGGTGGTCAGTTCCGGTTGTCTCAAGGCCAATTCTACCAATGCTATCACTTACCATGGTCCCTTTCACTAGGAAGACAAAGCAAGCAAGAGCATCAAAAGATGACAATTCTTGGAACTGACAGGTACAGCCAGGCACCCTCAGACTGGAAAAGAACTGATTTGAACCCGTGCCTTCCAAACTGAAGGCCCTTCCGGGTTTAGATATTACACAGTAATGGCACTACTATTTTAATTTTAGTTAACAGCCTCGAGACCTCTCCAAACTTCTCTCACCTCACAGTCCCTCTCTAATGGTCTACCCACACCAGCTTGTGACCCAATTCAACTCAAGTCCATTAGGTCCCTAAGCATCCACCTTGAGTTGGGACATCATGCCAGCTGCAGAAGACAGGGGAGAGAAAAAAAAAAAAAAAAGCCTCGCCTGGGAAATTCACAAATGAGAACTAACTTGGGGCAGTTTTAATTTTCTCCAGCCGATTTATCACATTGCTCTTGGAAGAAAAATAAAAAAGAGCCCGTGGACAGTTTGTACGTGAACTAACTGCACCCTGAAGGAAGGGGTACATGGGCGGTTGGCTGGGGTCCTCCCTTAGAGCTGGCTGCCAGCAGATGGGGACTGGGGACTAGGTGATGCGCGGCCTGGTCATCTTCGGGAGCGGCGAAATAACGGAGAGCTCTGGAAGGCGCAGCTCACCTTTGGCTCCAGCAGTGGGCTCGGGGTCGCCATCTCCTCGTTCCAGAATAGCAGCCACACAGCAATGGTGCTCCGGTGAGGCCTAGCCGACCGCTGGAAATTAGGCCCCGCCAAGACGAGGCTCACTCGATGTGTCCGGTGAGGTCCTGCATCGGTCTCGGAGCGGTCACGTTCCTAGGGGCATATCAGACATTGCGCCTGGCTGCCCCCCAACTCCGAGCCACGTCTTCTGCCGGGCTGTGCAGTCTTTCAGGCTTCGCTGTAGTCTCCTTGTTGCCAATTTCTCCACCTCACAGTCAACAGTGCTACAACAGACCACCCCCTGAACCAGAAGGCGTTACCCCGAACGGTCACGGAACCTCTCCAACTACAACTCCCAATATGCACCGACAGCGCGCCACCGCCTTCTTCCGCAAATGGCAACTGGACTACATTTCCCGGTGTGCATCGGAATAGGCCACCACGGGGACCGCTGCAGTAATCTCGCATCTGATTGGCTGATCGGGTGTGCCAGGGAGGTCGCCAGTCGAAGATGGCGGCGCTGTGTGTGTACCGGTTTGCTAGCAGAGGCTGGCTGTGGAACGCTGCCTTGGCTGCACGTAGGGACTTTTGGTCTCGATCCAGGTAAAGCCGAGGGTTTCCCAATGGGTTCCGTCCCACGAAAGTCGCCAGAAGCTGAGGGACGAGCTCAGAGGGTTAAGATGGGACGCTGGTCGTTAGACTGCAGAAGTCTGCGTGGAGGAGGGATCCGAGCGCAAAGCTTCGGCCTGCGTTTCCGCGACAGGCAGAGCCTCTCCTAATGGGAGCACTTTTCCCTCCCTCCTTCCTTTCCTTAGTAAGCAGCATCAACCACGTGTCAAAGGCACACTGGACGGATCAACCTAACATGTGAACCTAGGTCCTCAGTAAGCCACGCTCCTTGGCGGGGGTGTATGTGTTTAGCAAAATCAGAAATAAAGGCTCCCGCACAACGTTGTGTGTCTCTCCCCCACCACCGTGCTCGCTAGCGGTCCCTCCCCCTGCGCTCTTCCGCCCGCCTCTCCTATTTCATCGATGCATACAACAAATAGTTTGTAAACGCCTTCCATTTCTCTTAAGTGTGTGCAGTGCTCCAGTCTCTTTTCCACGCCGCAGCACTGTGACTCGCGAAGGACCTGAGGACCACCGAAGAGGTGCACACACACGGTGGCTGTAGACTCCCTGCTTACCTAGTTTCCCCCACTGCATCATGTGGGGTCCATCTCTGATCTAGGTAATATTTAGGGCATGGAAACTTAACCGCTGGGACCTAAGGGACAACAAATATCGTAGGTTCGGATTTTGAGTCATCACCTCCTGTCTTTAATAGCTCTCATTTGGTTCATGTCAAATGTCCCCAGTTAATGTTTCTGTTATTCACTCAGCAAATATTTTAGTGTCTGCTATATGGTAGATATTAAAGGTACAGTGGTTAATTAGATCAAATCCTTGATCTCGTAAGAGGGGAGCCGTTGATGTTATGTTCATTTTCAGTTACCTGTTCTGTAAGGTGTAAATAGATGTATATATGCATAGAGAAGAGATTTCTGCAGTCAGGCTAATTCCAGCTAATTCCATCTCTCTATAGCCCCCTCTCCCCCCTTTTTAAGTGAAAACACAAAGGTCAGTGCTGTTTATTTATTGTCAAGCACCATAGTTCTGGAATAGAATTTTAAACCGTAAGGTATGATTTCTTCCAGGATGTTCATACTCAAGATTGCTACAGCTATTCATGATTTAAGGTTGCTCAATATGTTTTTGAAAAATGTCATTTGATTCTTTTTTTTTAGAAATTGGGTTAAATATGTTAAGTAGTGCAGACATATTAACAATATTGATAAAATAGTGTAAAAAACTGATTCTTCAGTCCACGAACATGGATGTCTTTGCATTTATGTGTGTTTTCTGTTTCTTTCATCAGTGTTTTCCAGTTTCTGGTGTACAGATCTTTAACCAACTTGGTTATTTTTTTTCCTAAATATTTTCTTTTTTCCTGCTATTGTAAACGAATTTAATTTCTTGATTTTCTTTTGGAATAATTTATTATTTCTCTAAAGAAACTTGATTTTATTTATGTATATATGTGTATATATGAATCATACCCTTTGAAGCCAGAAGAGGGCATCAGATCCCCTGGGACTGGAGTTATAGGTAGCTGTGAGCTAGCAAGCTGGTGTGAATGCTGGGAACTGAACTCTGGAAGAGCAGCAGCAGCAGCAAGTTCTCATAGCACTGAGCCATCTCTCCAGCCCCAAAGTACTAACTTTTTTTTAAATGTTAATTTTGTATCCTGCAACTTTACTGGGTTGGTTTATTAGTTCTAGCAATTTCTTGTATGTGTTGCACAATCTGAGGTTTCCTTCTGAGAGACTCTTGCCATCTGCAGAGACAAATTCATTTCTTTGTAACTTGGCTGCCTTTTTCCCTTTTTCTTTTCTCGAGGCTCTTATGTCTTCTAGTATGATGTTAAAGTGCAGAGGTTGAGGCAGGAGAATGGTGAGTTCAAGGCCAGTGTACATAGGAAGGACCCCTTCCCTCCCCCAATAAAGTTCTGAGACTGAGCATCCTTGCTTGTACCTCAGAAAACTGTTTGTTCCCCCATCCATTGTTATTTTATCTGTGGGCTTCTAAATTATATTTATCAGCTTGTGGTAGACTCTACCTATTTTGTTTAGAGCTTTGATCGTGGATGAAGGTTAGGCTTTCTATCAGACACCTTTTCTGCTTCTTTGGAGATGATTATTTGATTTTGTTACTGTGGCATATCATTGATTTGTGTATATTGAACAGACTTTGCAGTAAAGAAAGTGTCCTATTTAGTCACAGTGTAGTCTTTTAGGTGTTACTGAATTTGGTTTGCTTCTGTTTTATTGAAGATTATTGCATCTCTGTTCATCAGAGAGATTGACTTGTAGTTTTCTTGTGCTATCTTTGTCTGGCTTTAGCATCCTGGTTTTATAAAATGAATTTGGAAGTATTTGTTCTTCCCATTTTAGGGAGACCTAATGTCAGAGGGCTGACATTAGTTCTTTTTTGAATGTGTTATAACATGAAGATACTGGATTCCAATCTTTATTTGGGATTTTTTGCTGTTTTGTTTTTCTTCAGTCCCTTATTTGCTGTTGACTGGCTTTTGCTTTCTCCTCTTTCTTTTTTTTTTCTTTTTTCTTTTTTTTTTTTTTTTTTTTTGATTTTTTGAGACAGGGTTTCTCCGTAGCTTTTGGTTCCTGTCCTGGAACTAGCTCTTGTAGACCAGGCTGGCCTCGAACTCACAGAGATTCTCCTCTTTCTTGATTAGAGCTACATGTCCCTAGGATTGTAACTGCTTAGTAGAATGGCCCCCTCACACACAGCAAGGAACTGTCCAATAAAAAAAATGAGAAGATATTTGGGACTGAGAAGTTCTGATCTTGTAAGTGAGGTGGTGTATAATCAAAATTGAAACTTGTATAGGATAGGATACAGTGGGCAGTGTAGACTGCTGTGAAGATCAAAGGGACTTAACATTTGATTAGAGTGTCAGGTTAAAGTTCTTAGGACTTACAGGGTAAGCATAATTTCCATAAGTAAAGATATAGCAAAAGGATATATAACCTGAGCTAACAAGTGTCAGGAAAGTGGAAGTGTATTTGGAAAACAGAATATAGTTTGGTTTGTACAGGCCTGTAATGTATATAAGAAATTTGTGGGAGGTAAATTTAGCTATTGGAGATAGCTCTTGGAAGATATGTTGACTAGTTTTATGTCAGATTGATACAAATTGGGGATAGCTCTTGGAGGATATGTTGACTAGTTTTATGTCAGATTGATACAAGTTTTAGAGTCATTTGAAAAAAGGAGCCTCAAGTGAGAAAATGTCTCTACCAGATTAGCCTGTGGTACATTTTCTTGATGGAAAATTGCGGGAGGATCCATCTCACAGTGGGTGGTACCACCCGTGGGCACGTAGTTCTGGGTGAACCATGGGAGCAATGCAGTGAGCAGCAGCTCTTGGGGGCCTCTGCATCAGTTCTTGCCTCCAGGTTCCTACTTTGAGTTCCTGCTCTGACACCCCTCAGTGATGAACTGTGATATGGAACTGTAAGATAAAATAAACCCTTCCCTCTGCAAGTTGCTTTTCGTCATGGTGTTTTATCATAGCAATAGAAACCAAACTGAGACAGAGGATTAAGGCTCCTAGATAGAACAGTTTGCTTTATCTTTGTTCTTTACTTAGTTTTAGAATTCTTACATGTATGTAAAATATATGCTAAACTTTCGTTTTCTTTTCTAAAAATTGATTCAACTGTATGTGTCTGAAGGGTAGGTGACCATTCTATCTTTTCTGCTCTCCACTGTGTTCAGAAAGTCTCAAGTGCAGAATATTTGATTTTGATTGCAAGGCAAGATTCAGTCCAATGTTTATTAGCTTCATTATCATAATCAGCCAAAGATTCACATGTTTACTTTTGATCATTTCAGAAAGGAGAAGGAGCCAGTGGTGGCTGAGGCAGTGGAAGAAGTGAAGACAGAACCTGTTTTGGTGTGTCCTCCCTTACGAAGCCGAGTGTATACACCTCCTGACGATCTCCAGAGTCGCTTGGAATCCTGTCTTAAAGAAGTTCTTGATTCATCTCTTCCTAGTAATTGGCAAGATATCTCCCTGGATAATGGTCATGTGAAGTTCAGACTCTTGGCACGTTTAGCTGATGACTTGGGCCATGCAGTGCCTAACTCCAGGCTTCACCAGATGTGCAGAGTCGGAGACGTTCTTGACTTCTATAATGTTCCATCAGTTCAAGACAGATCTAAATTTGATGAACTCGTTGCTGGTAATTTGCCTCCCAATTTGAAAATCAGTTGGGGTTACTGAGCAGGTCAGCAGTTACTGCATTGAGATGTTGTACTTTCCTCACTGAGGTGGCCGACACTTGTGAAGTGTTTCCCTTCAGAGCTCTTCTCAGACCTCCCTTTACTTTTTTTCCTATAGAAGAATACATCTTTTTCTTCATGGAGTATCAACAAAGAAAACATTTTCACATTTGCTAAGGCTATTCCCCCAGCCCCCAATAAAATCAAGTTTTGGTAATTTATATAATGTTCTTATTCTGATGTTTAAGATAGGAGGGCATCTCAAGTTCAGATGTTTCTTTGTCCGTTATATGGATAAAGTAGTAGTTGCAATAAAATATTCCAATCTTATTAAAGCTCATAGGTGTGGGATTATTATGGATATGCAAATGAGGAAATGTGTTAGATAGTTAACGGAATGTCTGCTATACATAGGACGTTTCACTGTGGTTAGTCCGTGATTAAAGATGAAAGAAAGTACACTGTATTCTGGGTTCACCTCTTGGATTAAAGCAGATTCATTAAAGTCTGTTGTCTTTACTTCTTGAAATTTACTTCATTGTATCTATTATTTTCTTAAAATGAGTGGTAGAACTGAAAAAAAAAAGACCATCTCACAACTATTAAGTTTTAAAGAGTTATTACCAGATTCTATATTGCATATTCTCAAAATGAAGCATATCTCAAACCATCTTTTCTATAACCTTAAAAGGTGGCCTTAGGGTACCTATGTTTAGTTATTAGATTAGAACATCTTTGTACTTTGATGTACTTAGTTTGTAGAAATTGTTTAAATAGATTTCCAGATAGATCTGAATGTAATTATATAAAATACTGTTATAGGAAGATTTTAAGCATAAGAAATTGTTTATTCTCTTTCATTTGGGAACTTCCTTGAAGAAAAAATAATCATCATCATTAATTGCATATATAAATTTCAGCAGATTCACTGGGAAAAAATAGTTGAGGTGGAGGAGATGGCTTGACCTGTAAGCCTGACGACCTAGGTTTAAATCCTGGTACCTATGTAAAAAGCTGAACATGGTCACATGTGCCTGTACTTCCCGATTAGAAAGTGGAGACAGCTAAATACCTAGAGCTGGGTGGCCCACTAGTCAAAAAAGTGAGGTTCCCATTCAGTAAGATATCTTACCTCAAGGCAATTAGGTGGAGAACAGTAGAGAGAGGCAGGTCCTGCTCTGGCCTGCTCTGTGCACACGGGTGTGATAGGGGAGTGTCATATATCAATCTGTTGATTTCATTGGTTAAGCAATAAAGAAACTGCTTGGCTGGCCCTCATAGGTTAAAACCTAGGTGGGAGGAGTAAACAGAACAGAAGGCTAGGAGAAAGAAGCTGAGTCAGAGAGTTGCCAAGATTCTCCCACTCCAGGCAGCTGCAGGTTAAGATCATTCCTGGCAAGCCAGCTCGTGAGCTACACGGATATTAGAAATGGGCTAGTCCAGGTGCGAGAGTTAGCTGAGAAAAGGCTAGATATAATGGGCCAAGCGGTGTTTAAAAGAATACAGTTTCGGTGTAATTATTTCGGGTAAAGCTAGCCATGGGGGCGGTCGGGTGCCGGGGACGCAGCCCACCGCTCCTAATTACAACAGAGTGGCACCCAACGTGCTAATGAACTCGTAAAACCTGAGAGGGCTTAAAAAGGAGAGAGAGAAAAAAATAAAAATAAAAAAAAAAAAGGAGAGAGAGAGAGAGAATTTAAGACAGATTTTTGCTGTTGGTGGGTTGCCTGCTGCAAAGAAATTGTCCTGACTCAGCAACAGGAAAAAAACTGGCTGTTTTAAAATGCCGGTTTTCTGGGCTGTGCCGCCATTGCGATCTCTGTCTGGATCCTGCGGGAGACAGAGCTTTTAAATGGAGCATTTGGAATAATGTGCTACGGCTTGGTTGATGGCAATGTGGACTGCTGTGTGCCTGGAACTGTGTGTGGCTCAGGGGCACCAAATGGCTCTGAGGCAGGAGCTGCTCAGCTCTGCCATGATGAACTGTGCTGGTCTCAGGCAGGAACGACCATAATTACCATAAAAACAGTGCTGTAAAGGTTTAGACTTGACCGTAAACAGGCAGTACCGTATTACCCCTACATGGTGCAACTTAAGTTTTTAAGAACTGCTTAACATTTTAAGAAATGCTCCTGCATAGTAAAAATATTACAGATTCACAATAAAACAGATTCAGACATAACAGACCTCAATGAGTCACACTGTTGGATGAATGTACGTAGGCTTGAGAGAGAGAAGAAAAAGAATATAGAAAATAAAGTTAATGGTTAAAAAAAGGGTAAAGTCTTTAAAGAGACAAAATACAGATAGTTATAGATTAAGAGAAATAAAAATAAGCCACGTAAAAATGGAAAATTCACAGAGAGTCTGGATTATGTACATTGTGTTTTCTTTAAAATTTTTGACTGTGAAGGAGCTAAGTACAGAGAGACATTTCATTACATGGGCTGCCAAGCTAAACCAGAATGGATATAAGGGTATTACGATTTCAGAATTTGGGTCTAAGGATATGATGCTTTGGAAAGGGTCTTCTTTTGTTTTCACAGAGGACCAGACCCTGTGGATTGCATCTATCCCGATATGGTATGATAGACCACGCCCTCCTGAAAGGTTGCTGTAACACCCTCAAAAAATTACTTCGCTCAACTGCCAACTGAGATGAAACTAGCACACAGGTTATACCATGAAAGACCTCATTAACGACGCCCCCATTCAGCAGGAAGCAGTTTGGAGAGAAAAAACTGTGCCCATGTTCCCAAAATATTGTTTATAAATGTTCTTTTACATTTAAAGGGGGAAATGATATAGGTATGAATAATTTGCATTGGTGTGGATTTTAAGGTCAATTTTGTTATATGTATATGTATTTCTGATATTGATTAAGGTATTGTGATTGTGTAGTTCTTTTAAAACGTAATGTATAATAGGAAATATAGGTTGCTAATGGATAATCATCGATGATAGTAAAGTTTGTAGTCATGTTACTTAGATTTTCTAGATATATAGAGATATATTTCAGATAGGCATTCTTCATATCTCTCAACAGCTACAGAATATGGCATTTAAAATATTTTAATAACTTAGGACTTTTCATGACAATGAGACATATCTGCTCCTGGCGGCACCAATCTACTTCGAGAGGAAGGTGGGCATCGAAGAGGATCCTTATGGAGTTTGATAGCCATTTGGGCAAGAAACTGCTCTTGCCTGGACTGTTGCATAAAATGGACACAGAAAACCCGCAGAGAGAGGACTGCTGAACTTGCCTAAAGGTGAGACGGTCTTTTGGGGTTCATGACTCATGAAAGTGTCTGTGAGACATTCTGCAGGACACAGCAGAAAGTGACTGAACTGTCTTTGGAATTTCCTGCTTGATGAAAATGTCTGCTGGATACTTTGGGCCTGAAGGCTGAAGATGGATGCCCCAACAGTACAAAAGAACTTTGGGTGACTGTCCAGGCAGCGAGATGTCTCTGTTATTTCTAAAGTTTTGACCTTCGTGTTTGTTAGGTAATATTATATCCTTCTGGAGTCTTTGATGGAGTTGAAGAATGAATAGATAGTTATAGTTTTCAATTGTTATGATAAAAGATAAAGTAGATATAAATATTCTAACTGTAATTCTTGCTTGATAACTGTTTTGTTATATGTAATCTTACTATGTTAAAGTTAAAGCCTTTTTTGTTTAAACAGAAAAAGGGGAAGTGATGGGGGAGTGTCATATATCAATCTGTTGATTTCATTGGTTAAGCAATAAAGAAACTGCTTGGCTGGCCCTCATAGGTAAAACATAGGTGGGAGGAGTAAACAGAACAGAAGGCTAGGAGAAAGAAGCTGAGTCAGAGAGTTGCCATGATTCTCCCACTCCAGGCAGCTGCAGGTTAAGATCATTCCTGGCAAGCCAGCTCGTGAGCTACACGGATATTAGAAATGGGCTAGTCCAGGTGCGAGAGTTAGCTGAGAAAAGGCTAGATATAATGGGCCAAGCGGTGTTTAAAAGAATACAGTTTCGGTGTAATTATTTCGGGTAAAGTTAGCCGTGGGGGCGGTCGGGTGCTGGGGACGCAGCCCACCGCTCCTAATTACAACATGGGTGCATACCCTGCCACAGGACAGTGTCTAAAAATGTCACAGCCTTTAATAATTACTAGGTACACAGCAAGGGCATTACGTTATGAATTGCTTTCAAAGTATTGGTGACTGGAGCCCTGAAGTTTAGACATAACAGCTCCTGTTTTCTGAGAACGAGATTCAGCATGGAAACGTTTGGGTTTGACATACAGAATTTGATTATCATGTTTCCCATACAATAATACTGGAAGTAAAGAGGTGTGAAGTCAGTATGGAAACACTCATGGCTACGAGTGAGACATATGCTTCGTGTTACTATTAAGAAAGAAGCTGCTCCTCCACACCCCAGAGCAGTGCCTAAGTGAATGGGTCACTTGGGGATCATGTTGCTGTCTGGAGTGATTGAAAGCTTCCTCATCTCTGCAGTGCTCAGAAGTAGCAAGGTCTCAGGGTCATGAAATGACATTAAGCTGGCAGTGATGCACCTTTCTGGAGAACAGTTCTGCATATCTGTCAGTAGCTCTGGAGGCTGTCATTGGTTTACACGTACCTCATTACAGGGTTTCAAGAATAGTGACCTTACAGTTCTGAAGGGAACAGGTTGGTTTGTTTACTGAGATAGCCAGACATACACGAAAGCTTTCTATTTTAAAAAACTTAGGATATGCAAAGGGTATAAGGTAACCAGTTTTACTTAGTTGAATGTATGGGCTCAGTGTGTTTGCATAAAACCTAATAAAATCATTAGCAATTCAACATAAGTGGTCTTACAGAAACTACATGTTTAAAGTTTCAAGTAACATGAGACTCCTCTTGCTGAGTTTTGTTTTAACATGGAAACTATATGATTTCTGAGGTAACCACACTTTAGAAAATAAAAAATACATCAAAAACAAGAAGAAAAAAACTCACACCAGTATACAGATAATGTAATATTCTAATATACTACCAATAGAAAAATTGTATTTTCTGTATTTTTGTGTTATTCTATGGGTATGTGTTCATGTGTGGGGGTGTACTTACACATATACATAGGAATCCAAACCACAGTCTTCCTGGTTGCACAGCAAACACGCAGCCAGTCATCTCTCTATCCCATAATTGACTTACTACTTTAGTTTTGTAGTATTGAACTCAGGCCTGGAAAGAAATGTTTCACGAGATCACAGTTCTGCAGTAGCTGCATTGACATTTTGTTTTTAAAGTAGTGGTCAGATAAGATCAAATAGTGGTAGAGGAGTTTTAAACAAACAAGAGGTCAGGAAGATGGTTCAGCAGGTAATAGCACTTGTCACCAAGCCCGAGAACCTTAGGTCATTGTCCTCTGAACTTTTACAAACCCTGGTGCATGTGCAGCTGTCGTGTACAACTATATATGTATAGGCATAAATATATTGTGTATAATATGTTTTACACGAAACATACACATCTAAAAAGGAAACAAAACTCCCAAACAAAGCAG